CACATAATATTGGTCAAGACATGTCACCATTAATGCACCGTCTGGCTCTTTTACAACATTAAAGTTAAAAAGAAGTTCTGAGTTCACAACAGTCACATGATATAAAATTAAATCAAGAGACACATATAACCATCAATATGCCACCTCAACTTTCCTAGAAAGTAGCTAAACAAGAAATATTGAAAAAGGGTGGGGACAGTCGAAGACCTTATATGGCAGGAGACACACAGCATTTGACCACTTTGCTAGTAATGTGAGAAACCTTATTGGAGAGCAGCAAGGTCCTCCTGTTAAGTATAACTAAGTCTGCAGCCAATCCTAATCATATGGACCCATCTAGCAACTTTTAATGCATGGGAGCGTACAGTCCTGGAAACTGTCTTGCTAAAATAAGACTCTGTTGCATTTGCTTAGTGTTTTGCTGCCATCTAGAGCTGGTAAGATAGTTCATTCAGTATTTCACATCTGTGATTCTGTAGTATATGTATCCATGCATGGAGAAGATCAAAATTGCACCCAGCGCTTTTATGCCGCCTATGGGACAGTGGTTGTCAGCAGTGTCCAGATATTCAGAACGACTCTAGACTAATTTAATGTACATCCTTGTTGGGCCATTTGATTCTTAGTCTTGCACTTCGAAATAGCCCATTGAGCTTGAGACCCCTTTGCCTGATTGCTGCTTTTATTGCACAGTGCTCTCAGCTTTACGCTTTGTGTAAGAGTCGTGCAGCACTTATCCTGCAAAGAATAAATGTTTAAGCTGGGATCTTTGGTGGAACCAGCCTGTCGGGTCAATTTGTGTGACTCTAGTGGATATGTTTGAGTAGAAAGCTGGGAGTGCGGAGCAGGTCTCTCTGCTCGTAAGCAGCCTCGTTGTGAGGCCTGTTTTATATCTGTAAAGAGAAAATGCTTAACTCTTCAGGCTGAAACTCATGACCACATCACTTCATTGGCTTCTGGATTCATTTCTGGACCCAGTTCACTGTACTAGTATTGGCCTATAAAACCTTGTGTGGCTACAGGGTTATCCAACCTTAGGTCTTCAAACTATGTTGGAATAGACGTTGCATGATCCTCTGTCAGCGTGGTTAACATTAAATTAAGTAGTCCACCAACATCAGAGACCTCCAAAATGGGGAAGATTGGCTTAGGACCTTGGCAGCCAATGGGTAGTCTGGGTATGTTTTTCTCTCAATCTCCTTCAGTTGACAATTTGGGAGTGTGAAAAGAAAAAAAAGTCTCTTACAGTGGTTGTGTCTTTCCCCAGGCTAAATTATGGATTATACTTTCTAGTGAAGGTCTCGGGCAATGTTTTTCTAGGACCAGCCAAATGATTTTAAATTCTCCTAGGGTTTTTAGCATTTTTATATTACCATCATTTATAATATTAAATTTTACTCTGGTAGCAATGTGCCCTCACTTTCTAGATAATTCTAGCAATCTGTAAACAGGTTGTTCCCCACCCCTCACACCATTTTTGTTTTGTTTCTGTAAGTGATTTTTAAAAGTATATTCCATGATTGGGTTGGGGAGAGGATTCTGTTTCAGTTGTTTTAAATAGTTCAGTTCTTTGTTGCCGAGAAAATCCAGTTTATTGGGCAATTAATAAATGTATCTTTTTCTTGTACTGGGGTTGCTGCTGCAATTTTTCCTTTCATGGCTGGTTGTACTTATTTCTTTTTCTTTCCCCAGTTAAGTCCTATCTTCAGCTTCCTGGTCCCTTTCTTTTCCTATTCAAGAGAAGACTGTTCCCTTAATCCAGATGCAAGTGTAGGCGATGTCTTTATAGATCACTAAAAAAAAAATCATATCCACCTGCATAGATTATCCACCATACGACCGTAAAAGGGCCATAACATGTTCTTCAGGTTGCCTTTGCACATAAATCTTACAGACACTTGAAATGTGATGACAGTGCTTTCTCACCCTGAGATTATTTGGAACTCTTGCTAATAACCTCACAGGCTGACAAGAGCTAAAATCTGTGTTTAGTTGCAGTTTTGTGAAGTCCAACTCGCATGAGAAACAATTAATCAGTGTCATTCCCTTTGTTTTCCAGGGTGACCTAAAAACGTATCTTTGCAATGAACAGGAGAACATTAAAGGAGATGCTCAAATCATGCTGCTACAGAGAATGGCATGTGAGATTGCTGCTGGGCTCTGCATGATGCATAAGCATAATTTTGTGCACGGGTAAGACCTCCAGATATGCAGTGTCGTAGTCTCCCTTTCATCCCTACCAGATAAAGCACTAAAGTAAAAAAAAAGTCTTGATTCTAAAACACTACAGTGTAATAAGATCTCAAAAAAAGAGAAAAGGGGCATAGCTTGGTGGTAGAGCATGGGCTTCCCTTGGAGAAGGTTTCCGTATGCATTCCCTCACATCCCAGGTGATGTTGGAAAAGTCTCTGCCTGAAATACCCAGAAGTTCCCGCAGTCTGTGGTGACAGTACTGGGCTAGGTAGACCAGGTGGGGTTCACTCAGAATAAGACATATTCTGTGTTCTGGGGCAGGCTGAAATTTAAAACTGATCACTCTTCCCATGCCCTGAAGAAAAGCAAAATGCTTGTTTGCTCCGGTAGTTCCCATGCTTTGCTTCCATCCCCAGCTTGGGTGCTTCTCCTGGAAGGAGAAGCCAGACCATCAGTACCTTATAAACAACAGCCATGTCTTCAGCTAAATCTTTGTATCAGAGGCTCCTCTGATACTCCAGTTTTGGCTGAGGGTAGTAGGTAATGGAGCTTCAGTTTACCTACTGATTGAAACTCTGCTCTTGTGAAATTGCTGGTGCTTTGCTATACTCCTCCTGAACAGTGATACCTTAACATTGATGTTAATGGAGCTGCATAACAAAGCTCAGGGGCCAGACTGTGTGTTCTGTTATTCATAATTTTAAAAGGAGAATGCTCAGTAGGGTCACATATTGAAAAAGAAGGAGCTGTTGGGCCCCAGGATGGAAATAGACCCCTAACTTAGGTTGAAGCTTCATCCCAACCTTCTGCAAAAATCCCCCTCCAGCTTGCCTTTTGCCATCTCCCTGCGATTTCTATCTGTAATAAGCTGGCCTAAGATCACAGAGTGGAGATTCATGTTTTAGTGGTGGATCTGTTCCATGTTGATTCCAAATAGTTGCTTGTGGTGCCCTTTAAAACCACAGGGTGTCTAAGGCTGTGACCCAGTATGATGCTAAATAAGCTTTTCTCTGCTACATTATTGATTTTTAAAATTGTCTGTGCATGTCCTGAGATTTCTTCTTTTCCTAGCACAATGTTTTTGTGTTTCTTCCAGGGATTTAGCCCTAAGGAACTGCTACCTTACATCTGATTTAAATGTAAAAGTAGGAGATTACGATATAGGATTCAGCAGGTACAAAGTAAGTATGTTGTAAGGCAGGGTTATATTCAGAGCCTGAGTTTAGTGTGACTTGGTTAAAGAAACTTCTGTCATTACAGCCTAGTCTTTTATATGAGCTCTAGTGATTTTGCATGCCACAACTGGATTGTAATTTCATATTTTTTGTATTGTTATCATTTGGAGAGATGCTGGATTTGCCAGTCTTTCTTCATGCCTGTTGTTGCCATTCACAAATATGCATATGTGAATTGGGGTTGCAAGGCAGAAAGCACTGTAATCTTGTGCTTTAAAATTAAGTACATAGAGTTAAGTGTCAATTTAAAATTAAAAAGTGGGACCTAAAGGTTTTGAACTTGGTTTGAGGAGCAAAAGGGAAAGAATTAGCAGCAGCATCTGTCCATGGGGATGATAATTGCATTTTCTTCAGTCCGTCTCCCTCACTCAGACAACCTCCTCTGTTTTGCTTCCCATTAAAAAGAACAATGATCGTGTTACATAGCTCTGTGTGACAAGCAGTTTGGTGTTCATTGAATGGAGAGGTTTTTTAAAAATTGATTTGTTTGGTCTCTATACCTCTCCATTAATGAAGATCCTCTGCTATGGGTAGTTTACAGAGTAAGATATTTTTAAAAACCTTCCCATATAATAACACAATTAACAGGGCGATATATTAACTCAGACATAATACTGAAAAGAAAACTAAATTTAAAAATTAATATTAACAATATCTGGGGATATGTTCTTAAAGCTTGCTTTATAGAGCTCTGTCTGTACTAGTGCTGATGAAGATATTTACATTATGATGGTTGTCAGTCTCTGGAGATGTATTTGGTTAGAATGTATAACAGAGTGAAAAGACTGTATTTAATACAACTTGGTCTTGAAAGATAATGACATTTTTTTCTCATTGTATGGTGGCAAAAAGTAACTTTCTACCAAAGTCCTTCCATCTGACAGTCTAGCCATAAGATACTGTTTCAGCATATCAGCATGCATTTCCGTATCTCCATTTTTGGGGACCCGTAGAAAACCACTAGGAGAGGTTGCCAATGCATGCTTTACTTGACTGCCTCACTCCTTGGGTTCCCAATTTCAATCTGCTGGTTTTGCTTTTGCCAGGTGTCCCTTTTGGGCAACAAATGGCAAAGGTAACGTCCCATTACCCAGTTAACTCCGACACTGCCTCGTTGATCCAGGGCAGCATAATGTAGGCTTGTTCATATAACTTTCACTTGCTCATTCTAAACTTAGAATGAGTTATGTGTGTAGGTACCATAATGCTACTCAATTGAGGTGACTTGATTTTCATTATACAGTTTTGATTTCTCTTTAATTTTGGCTTTTTTCCTTGATATAACAGGACGACTATATTGAAACGGATGAAAAGAAGCTTGTGCCACTTCGATGGGTTGCACCAGAACTGGTGACTAGCTTTCAAGATAGGCTGATAACAGCTGAGCAGACAAAGTACAGCAACATCTGGTATGAAACCAATCATTACTGGGTTGTGAGTTCTTGAAACTGAAAGTGTCATATGTGGTTTGGGTGTTCATTTGAACCGTAGCTTAGATCATGAATGTACAGTAGACCTCGTCTAAATGGGTGGGATAAAAAACAAACAAACAAACAAACAAACAAATAAATAAATAAATAAAGGTTTTGTTTAAAGCACTACTTTCCTTGGGTGGGTGAGATAGAAAAATTCTGCTATCTCTTTTTGAAGAAACAATAGTGTACTGTTACCTATGGATAAAAATCAATCAATCAATCAAATAAATAAATAAATAAATAAATAAATAAATAAAGGTTTTGGTTAGAGCACTACTTTCCTTGGGTGGGTGAGATAGAAAAATTCTGCTATCTCTTTTTGAAGAAACAATAGTGTACTGTTACCTATATAAATCCCAGAAATACAAGTTTCCACGCCTATATATATATATATATAGGCTAGGTTTATTTGCAGCGATCTGAAGTGCAGTTTAGCTGATTGGGCTACTCTTTCAAAAAGGAGGAAATCTGCAAAACTTCAGTAAAGAGAAAGTGCTTTAAAGACTGCTTTAAATCGCAAAGCCTCTGGGCTACAAGGTCGAAAGACCAGCAGTTCGAATCCACGCAATGAATGAGCTCCTGTCACTTGTCCCAGCTCCTGCCAACCTAGCAGTTTGAAAGCTTGTAAAAATTGCGAGTAGATAAATGGGTACCACCACGGTGGGAAGGTCACAGCATTCCCTGTCTAGTTGTGCTGGCCATTTGACCACGGAAACTGTCTATGGACAAATGCTAGCTCTGGAGCTTGGAAATGGGGGTTACCAGCAATGCTGGCTCTACAGCTTGGAAATGGGGGTTACCAGCACCTCCTATGACTGAAAATTTGTCAAGGTAAACCTTTACCCCCCTAGAGTCGGATATGACTGAACAATTTGTCAAGATAAACCTTTATCTTTTTAGCATAATTTAAGCAGAATGTTCATGTGTCAGAAGTTTTTTTCACAACCAAGAATCTTGTGGTCTTGTGGTCTTAATTTTTGAACTGTAGAGAAAATTAGATACCTTGGGGGGCGATATGCCAGTGATACCTGTTCTGTATTGCTGCATGCTTTCCCCTGTATCAGTTTTATGACTGTACATATGACTGTGTCCTTCTCTCCTTGCTTGGTGTGATACAGTTTGGTATTATATGAGATGAAGTTTTTATTATAGGCAATAAAGTTCCAGTAAAGGGTATTGGACATGTTGAAAAACCTATACATTATAGAATGAAGTGTTTAATATTGTTTGTGAGTTAGGGCCAAGATACCATTCTGGAATAAGTATTATGATCTTTATTAAATACTCTCCTTTTACAGGTCATTAGGTGTAACGCTTTGGGAGCTTTTCAGCAGTGGTGCGAAGCCTTACTCTGATTTGTCTGATGATGACATCCTCACGCAGGTCATAAAAGAAAAACGGACCAAGCTTTTGGAACCTGATCTTCAACAGCCGTATTCTGATAGATGGTAAAACTGAAGTCTTTGCTGTTTTTATTGAAGAATGGGATTATAGGGCCTACCTTGTCATAAATTGGAAAGAAATGGCTGAGATGGAGAAACCATCTAATAAGTCTGGGATTGTGCAGAAGATGAACCAGAGTATGGGATAGTCCAACTCAACCACAGTACTATCTCATTTGTAAAGTAAAAAAAATAGTGGAAGGAATGAAAAGTTTGAAGGTTTGAAAGAATGTTGTTAGTGGATGTAATCAACTTGGAAAAACCTACTAATTAAGGAAGACTAATTGGCTGTTTAAAGCAGACGTGGTATTTTCTTTTCATGCCAACTCCTCTTACAACTGAATAGTATTGATGTTTGTTGTTATTGTCATAGGTATGAAGTTCTGCAGTTCTGCTGGCTTCCTCCTGACAAGAGAGCAACCGCAGAAGAAATACATAAGCTTCTAACGTATCTCCGCATGCAGAGTCAAAAGGATTCAGTCGTTGATCCTGAACAGTGGGATGATCTCAAGCCCAACACTTCACACAGAGAACTGTCAAACAATTCTGCCTTTCCCATCTTGGATCATTTCCCAGGCGGTCAGTTTGGCCCTGAAATGGAAGAAGTCCTCACAGTCACTGAAACTAGTAGAGGCCTCAATTTTGAATACATCTGGGAGGCAGCCAAACATGATCACTTTGAAAGCAGCCAGGCGAATACTGATGAAGGGGTGACTTACACAAATATCTTCTTCCCCGTAGAGATCTTTGAGAACACTCTTATAGAACAGGGACCTGGAGTGCAGGATGAAAGTGGGCAGGAAATTTCATTTTTGGTGCCTGGGGAGCTTCCTGTTTTCAATGCCCATAAACCCTCTGTTGGGAATGATTACTATATCCAGTTAGAAGAGAAGAGCAGCAGTAGTGATGTAAGCTTCAATAATCAGGCTGCTACATTGATGACGGAAGTGGATAGCCATGAAATTCCAAAGGATAAAAACACGGAGTTTCTGGATCTTGGGGGCCTTGCTGCAGAATCTTCTACAGATAGTGATATTTTGTGTTATAATACAGGTACCAGGGAAGAAAGATTGCATGTGAATGGCCTTGAAAGCCCTTTGCAGAATATATTTCATGATATTTCCAGAACAGCACAATTGACAGATGCGAAAAACAGATTTGAATTAGCTGAGATCAATGATATTCATGTGGAATTTAACGCTGTTTCATATTCTGAACTGGAAGAACCTGTAGTCCATCAGTCCAAGAAGGGAAGCCCCATGAGCACTTTAGAAACTGAACATTTTTTCTTGCATGAGGGTAGCACAGACCTGTCTGATCCTAGCCAGCTGACTTCGGAAGAGTTGTCTAATAACTTTATTTTTCTTCGAGAGAGGAATTTGTTAAAGAACCCATTGAGCAACAGAGCTGGTGATGGTGATCTGAAAACGGCGTCTGATAACACAAATACGCTAGAGTCACTGACTACAGATCCACTTGGAGTTGGAAATAAAACAGCCAGAAATACTGTTGTCCACGAGGAGGAGAATTTTATTGAAAAAGGTAGAGATGAAAACATGAGTTTTCCGGCCCTTACTAGAAGTCAGATGTCGTCTTGCTCACCTTTAATGAATAAGCAACACATATCTCCTATATCAAGGGCTGAGAAGCATCTTACGAAAGTAGAAATTGATAGTAGCTCTACTTGCAGTATCGATTATTCTTTTGTTGGAGTGGATCAACTCCCTGAACCAGATAGTACTGAAACACTGTCTGTCAATGCCAAAAACCAAATTAATGGGACCAGCCCCTGTCATGGCTCAGCACTCCACGTCCAAGAGAATGAAAGACAGAGGGAAAACCAGCAGCTTAAATACCACAGCAACTATTGGGAAATGATCCATGACTTAGAAAATAAGCAGTCTGGATTAAAACAAGATGATATATATCATCTGGAGCAGAATGATGAAACTTTAGCTCAGATTGAAAAAGATAGCAAAGAGGGTTTAATAAAAAACATTTCTCTTTCGTCCATCCTTCCTTCAGACCGTACAAGTAACGACAGTCTGTTGGAAGACAGTTTGTCAACTCCCATGCAGATCATGGGGCAATCTGTAGACACCCCAGATTCACTAGATTCATTAGATGTGAATGAGGTCATAGAGTCGTTAGGGGACCATCGTCCACAGAAACCTTTGCCACCCGATAAACCTGCTGATAGTGGTTATGAGACTGAAAATCTGGAGTCTCCTGAATGGACATCACACCTGGTTGGTGGTAGCTCCAGTGAAGACATGGTTTTGTCCACTGCTGGTGGTGATATAATTTTGCACGAAAATCCCGTGATCATTGTATCAACAGATGTAAATGCCGATGTGGGTGCAATAAATATCATGAATCAGTTTGAAGCACTCCCTAGGATCTCTTTAGGTGGCATTCAGAATTCGTACAGGGATTCTGCTTATTTCTCTGATAATGACTCTGAACTAGATAAGAAACCTGAGGTTACAAATACATCAGCAGAACCAAAAGAGCTAGCTGAGGATGCCCCATGTAGTGACTGCTTTGAAACGAAAAAAAATCAAAATGCAGAACATCAGACTGATGAACAGTTCCTTAATAGGTCATACCCACAACTGGAGTTGGATGAGAGGCTAGAAGAGGTGTCTGAGATGAATGAAGTAAAGCAGGAGTGTCTTCATAATTTAACACTCCCTGAGGTAGAGCTAGAACGCAGTAGTGAAGACGAAGTGGAAATATATGAGGAGTCCCCCATAAGTGTGTCTTGCACAGGTACTAATACTGCAGACTTTCTCCCTGAGAGGGGTTTAAAGCTCACACCTGCAGAAGTCTTTGAAAACTCGTTATGCCATCTTGAAGGCCATAAGCTGAAAGAGCCTGATGTTGAAGGAAAATATCTTCGTAAACTTGATGTTTCCGGGATGCTTGATCTGTCCCTGGATGGGGATGATGCTGATGAAGAAGATGAAAATAGTGATGATTCTGAGGATGATATGAGAACTTTCCATCTTCATGGACTCAGCTCCGACAGCGACGAGGAAATTATTCACCAGGTTCCAGTCATCATCACTGATGGGGATGATGGCAGGCATTTGAGGAGCTTGTTGAAACTTCCAAAACAATTGGAACAGAGCGACCACCTGGAAAACTCCCTGAAGAATGAAAGAAAAGCAGTCACGTTCTTTGATGATGTCACCATCTACCTTTTTGATCAGGTACCTGTTTTGAAATGGCAGCCTTGTATTGCATTCCTAATTTAGAGTTGGGGGAAATTGTGATAAATGTGATCCTTGAAGGCCGGGTGGCTGCCGTTGCTTAGGAGTGCTCGCCCAGCTACAGATGGTGGATGAGCTGTTCCCCTTCCTAGAGAAAGGTAGATATAGGCCCGAGAGAGCAGAAAGTAGAGTAAGAGCATAATGTTTAGTTTTCCATAGTCTCTCTCTTCGCTTTTGCTACAGAACAGAAACTTAAAAGTTTAACTCAAGCGGTTGCTAGAATCGCAGAAGCCAAAGTAAAATTAAGGTTGTCCAGAATAATCTTTAAGGGTTTGAACAAAGACTTTATAACATTCATTATAAAACAAGAACATGTGAACACAGGTCCACCACATCCTTTTTCTGTTCTTTAGCTGAGTGGTCCCCAACCTTGGGCCTCCAGATGTTCTTCTACAACTCCCAGAAGCCTTCACCACCACCTCTGCTGGCCAGGATTTCTGGGAGTTGAAGTCTAAGAACATCTGGAGGCCTAAGGTTGGGGACCACTGCTTTAGCCCATCTGTGTGTTTGCAGTAGTTTAAATGGCCAGATAAGCTTTAGTTTCCAGGTTTAGTGGTTGTCCAGCATAGGTTGAAGTCTAAGAACATCTGGAGGCCTAAACTGCTTTAGCCCATCTGTGTGTTTGCAGCAGAAGGTAGTAACACCCATAATTAAATAAAATTTAAATGGCCAGATAAGCTGTAGTTTCCAGGCTTAGTGGTTGTCCAGCATAACTTTCTGTGAACAGATAGATTTCTGTCTTCCACTAGATTGTACTGTTCCTGTTAGTTCTCTGCCCTGATGACACAGAAACAGGGACAGGTTAATCACTGAAGTGCCTTGGGCTTAAGACACAGCACACTGGGCTTGCATGTAGTTCTTTGCAGTAGAAATGTATGCACGAACCCTCTCTCCCTCTTGTCTCTTTTGCTCCTAAAATAGTTGACCTACTTTATGAAATTCCAAGGTTGTGTGTATCTAGTTTTTAGTTCTGTAACGAGATAGCCTCAAGGTGCCTTTTCTACCTTGGGGGAAGGCAAACTAGCACAGCAAATTTGGGCTGTTTCATGAAAGGCCTTGATCAGTGTCATGTTGTGCTTCTGCTGAGTGGGAAGTTTCACCAGTGGGACTGTACGACTTGTTTAAAACAGCATTTTCCATGAGGTAAACCTGGCCTCTGCTTGCATAATAGGAACACTTGTGTAATGGTGCAGTCCCCTATTATTGTGCTGGTAGGGTTTTCTGCTCAGTGGAAGTGCAGTCGGATACTGGCCCTAAAAGTCAACCATAGTTGCTTACTGAATAGTCTACAATTCCTCAAGTGTTTTGCTCAAGATCCTCAGTTATGCTTTTCCAAGATCTTTGTTCTGTTGGTTACAGTAAAGGTTTGATGCTATTAGAGATGCAGAAAGCATTCACCTAAAACATACATAGTTTCAGTGATAGGGTTTTTAAATTTTTATTTCCGGGGGGCATGCATGGAGTGGTGTAAAGCCCTGGGGTTTGAAAGCGGTTTGCAGTTTGTCTATCCCCGCTCTTTGCAACAGTGATTTACAGAAAGAGAAGGGAGCCATTTAATCAAGGTGAATGGCTCTTTACAATGTGGTATGTTGTAGTGAACCTACCTGCATTTAAAAATCTCCAGTCCAGGTCTTGCTCTCTGTGTTTCTATTTAATCACAAGATGGAAGCCCTTATGTCGTTGCTCTTGGTCTATGAAACCCATTTCCCTGGGAAAATTTTAAAAGCTACCTTTCTTTCTTTGGTTAAGTGCACTCTTGGAAATTCATCAACCAGTTCTGCATTTTTGTTATTTTAGGGATTATGTGGTATTTCTATTGAGTTTGAGTCATCCTATAAATTAAACTGCATCATCAATTAGTTTTTTAAATTGTGTATTCCTACCCTTATTGCCCCCTATATCTGTATAGTTTGGGGGAAGAGGGAAGGAGCAATTTCTTGACCACACTGTCTGTTGGATTCAACCCACAGGCTTTTACTGTACTGTAAGTTGAAGCAAAAGCATTCTGTGTGGTAAAGGATAGTGCCTCTAGTGGTACATAAAGTACAAAGATTAACTAGTAAGAACTAGCATACAACACAGCCTCCTTGAATTTAGCTGTTGAGTTTAGCTAATTTGTGTTTCTGTTGCAGGCCGCTGTTTATAAGGCATGAAGCTGTTCTCCAAAAATTAATGAACAGTGTAAATGCTATTCAGAAAGATAGTGTATCTCGCTGCAGTGCATAAAAATATATTCACATGCTACTCCTAAAATATGTTCTGGTTGCCCCAGCTCCCCTTTAATTGTAGAGGAGCCAGTTGCTTAAAAGCCCTTCAGGGAAAGGGCTTGACTTAAAGGGTTTTTTGCAGTTTACTGTCAAATTACATTGGTGACGGTGCAGTCTGCGGCAGGTCCTGGCACAGCGAAACTGATCCCAGAAGTACTCCATCTCTGGTGTACATCTTTAATTATGTTTCTTTGGGTGAAACATCCAAGATACGCATGACAATGGAAATTCCTGATACCTTTCTGTCTCTAGGAAACACCAACCAAAGAACTCAGCAACCGTACTGCAGAGTCAAACCACTCAGATTCCAACAACGTTCCTCCTCCTGCTTCAAGCCTTGGCTACTTGAATAAATTTACGAATTCAGAAAGCTCTACGGATGAAGAAGGTACTGAGTTTTGGGGAGTGGCTTTTAAGCATTGGGAAATCTTGCATGCTGAGGATGGATGCAGTGTGTCCAGAGCGCCACCGTTCTCTTCACAATTGCCCTCTCTTCCCTTGAGTGGGACTTTGTAAAGAACTTCTCCTTATTCATTGATGGTGCATGTGGTGTAACAGATTTTATTAATACCACTAATAGTTGTGGTTCAGGAATCAAAATCCAAGCCTACATCCATTTGCTTGCATCACAGCTTTTTCCTTCTTGGTGTCAGAGCCATGTTAAGGGAGGAAGGGCAAGCCAGTCCTTGAGCGTGTCAGTGGCAGTGCAGTGTGTCACGGACAGAGTATCAGACTGTGACTCAGGACACTTGGATTCATATGTTGACTCAGCCATGGAAACCCAATGGAAGGGTAACAGTGGTAAACCGCACCTTGTGAATGTCTCACATACCTTGAAAACCCTGTTAAAATCACCATAAGTTAGAAGGGCCTTGATGGTCCATAACAACAAAGTGGATCGTGTGCTTTCTGCACAGATGCTTCCGGGTTCCCTTCTTTGCAGTTCTGGGCAGAATAGGGCAAATATCCGTCTAAAACTTGTCAGAATGGCTGCTATTTCGTCTAGAATGGGGCAGGCAACGGCATCCACTTTCCAGGCCGGTTCCTCTCAGGACCCAGCATGAACTGCACCCCTCTCTCACTTTAAAGGAAGCTTCATTTTGGATCAAAGCAAGACTTTAAAGTGGGGTGGGCAACTTTCCAGGGGGTAGAGGGCATTTTTTGCCCTTCCCCAGCCCTTGAAATGCTGTTCCCCCCTCCAAAACCCCTCTTGTTTTTATTTTTATTTTTTCAAAAAGGCCTCAAATGAACTTGGGAGAGTTACGTTCACATGGCAGGTGTGCCCCTCCAGAGGCATTGTAGAGGTGCTTTGTGCCATTTTGGGGCTGATTGTTTCCCCTGAAATTCAGAGAGGCAGGCGGTGGGGGGTGAGGGCACACTTGGGCCACACCTGCTTCAAAAGACAACAGTGCATTCTGGAGCACTGGGAAGGTGCAGCTGCTCTTTTCAGGAATTTTCTTCCCCCAGTGCAAGCAAAACAAAAGAGAAACTCAGAGCCTGCCAGAAGGTAGGGATGTGTGTGTGTGTGAGGGAGAGAATAAATGGAGTCTACCTGAATGAAACACAGTGGTGGCTCGTTTAACGACGATAATCCATTCCGGAAAAATCGCCGTTAAGCGAAAACATCTTAAGAAAAAAATTAAAAATAAAATTGAAACGCATTGAAACCCGTTCAATGCATTCCAATGGGGTAAAAACTCACCTGTCCAGTGAAGATCCTCCATACGGCAGCCATTTTCGCTGCCTGTATAGCGAGGAATCCGTCCCTAAATACAGTGGGGAGCCATTTTAATTACCCAGCGGCCATTTCGAAACCGCCGATCAGCTGTTAGAAAAATGTTTTGCGAAGGATCGGTTCCTGAAGCAGGGAACCAATCATCACAAAGCGAAATTCCCCCATTTAGACCATCGTTTTGCGATTGCAAAAAAGATCGTTGTTAAGCAGATTCATCATAATGTGGGGCAATCATAAAGCGAGGCACCACTGTATGTCTCTCTGTAAAGGGTAGCCAATTTTATTTTGAATCATAACCTCTTCTTAATTCTTCTTCTAATGTGTGTGTGGCTTCTTTCTTTTAGGTGGAGGCTTTGAGTGGGATGATGACTTTCCTTCTCCAGAGGCCTCTTTTCTATCGAAGGCTGCGAACAGCCTCCTCAGTTCCAAGCCTTCTCTTCAGACCTCAAAGTACTTCTCTCCACCACCACCGCCTCGAAGCCCGGAACAAAATTGGTCCCATCCCCTCCCTTACTCGAGGTTCTCTATTTCACCGGCAAACATGGCGAGCTTTTCGCTTACTCACCTGACCGATTCTGATATCGAACAAGGAGGCAAGTAATTCCCCCCAAGCGGCAGTCTGTCAGCTTGAAGCAGCTGTCAGTATGGCTTCTTCCATGACTTATTCAAGCTTCAAGCTATGATGTAGGGAAATTGAATGTTTTTAATGCACGCTGAACTTCAGGGTGCTCAGCTCACACATGCTAGGCTGTAGTGGTGGCACAGCTGAGGTTGGAAAGGTTGAGAGCCTTTGCTTTCCTTAAATGACCATGCATTGCATGGGACTCTGCTTTTGTGTCCTGTAACGGAGTCAATTCATCTAGTCCACACCACTAATACCTTTTTTCAAAAGCAACACAGCTCTACTTGCCAGCAGAAATTATGTTACTGGAAAGGGAGGTGATGCCATAAAGGGGTAGCAGAGTGGCCACCAGACAGACATGGCCTGGGATGTATAACACAGGAGGTAGTTCTGCCAGATATATTTTTTGAATTGAATAGAAACTTGCGAATCTGCCGTGTCCTGAATTGACCCTGATTGGCAGAAATAAACTCCAGTCCCTTATTAAAAGTAGGGAACGTGTAGCCCTGCAGATCATGAGTTCAGAGTAGATTTGATTTAAGTTGAAATGATTTAATCATAATTTAAATTTTTAAAAATCTTATTTTTTGACGATTTTTAAAAAATAATTTTTTTAAATTTCTGTTGTGATTTAAATGGTGACCTAAATCATGATGTAAATCAATTTGATTTAGGAAAACAAAACCCACTGATTTTTATCCACTCTCCCTGGGCTGCAGCTTCCATCTGCCCTGGTCAGCAGAGGCAAAGGAACAGTGGAAAATATAGTCCATTACCATCTGGAAGGCGACCGATGCCCTGTCTCTGATTTGGAGCATGGCTCTTTTAATGTTGTTTTTCCTCATTGAAAACCCTGGTACTTCCAGTTCTTCTTAGTATTTGGCATCTCCTCACCTCCCCCCTCCCCCATGTGACACATTTTGTTCTGTAGAGAAATACCGTTTGCAGTCATATTAAAAGTACAGATTAGATAAGAGTCTTAGCTTATCAATAAGGCCAGTGTTTTAAGCTTTCATTTGTGTCCTAAACAGTGACATTGAAGTGTGTGATTTAGGCAGTTGTGCATGGGAGACATCCAGGTGTCTCGCTGGGGTAGATTACATAATAGAAAGTATATGATAATTATTGCACTTTAAAACACCAGAATTAAACTTCAAAAATGGTAGTGCATGTGTGTGTGTCAACGGACTGGAAAACTCTTTTACAGCACAGTCTACGTTAAAAAGAACTTGAATTGCATGAAAAGTTCTGGGGTTTCAAAGGACCCCCCCTTGGCCACCCTCCCCCTCATTTCAGCAGCGCTTGTCCGATCTGAAGGAAGATCTGCGTCTTCTGGGGTTGTTGCTGGAGATAGACTGTCTGAAATATCCACCCCTTGTAAAACTAACAGATTTGTACCTCTTCATAGGGAGCAGCGAAGATGGAGAAAAGGACTGAACAGCAAAAACGTCCCTCGGTGTACCGTCATGTTCGTGTGGGTGGGGGACACCTCTGCTTTCTGCCTCGGACGTCTTTTGGTAGGAGGTGGGAAAAGCCACCCCTCTTTCATCTCAAAACAATGCAAAGCTACTGAAGTCCAGCGATCACACGGTTGGGCAAACACTGAAGGCAACGTACATCAGGACGGGAGCTTGAAGGTGGATGATACTCTTTTGCAGTGCACTGGTGCTCCTGTTTTTAAAAAAACTGTTAACCTTTTGCATTTCCTTTTAAACATTTATTCTGTGCTAGACCCCCCACTACTTCTTTCCCATACTTGAAATATCCTCCCAGCAGTTTGTAACAATGCGTAAAATGGCTGTGTTCTGATTTCTATATAGGATTGTATCATGAATCCTTTTGTATTCATATATTATCTGTATGAATGTGTACAGTTGTATATAGCTGAGCAGCGGATGGCTCGGTCGCTTGAAAAAGGCAGGGCTGTTGTGTAGCAAGCCATATTTCGATTCGCTTAGCCACTGACACACACTCACAAATCCTTCCTCAGTCCTTCCGGGTTGTACAAAGTCATTCTTTTTTGCTTTTTTTGTTGGACAGAAGTGTTTGTTCTAATGCCCATTTCACTGCTTTGCTTTAAACTCCTTTTTGACCCTTTTTTTGTGAAATGCACTTCTCAGAATGTACAGAGTTTGAGTCTTCCTTTTAAAAAGAAATGTAATTTCTGGAACTTTATATGCCGTTCTGTGTTTCGAAAGGGGCAATTCGATTTTGAGATAAATTTCTGATTGCAGTAAAACGGTCGATGAATTGACCCTTGAATTCTAGTTGATTTTACAAGTGGTGATACTGTATTGGTGTCATTGGGTTTCCCCCCCTGCAGGAGAAATGTGTACCTCTGTGGAAGTGTGTGTGTGTGTGTATGCACATGCATATGTGTGTCTGCAGACGGTGTGTGTATGTGTGTGCATGCACATGCATATGTGTGTCTGCAGACAATGATCTTGGTTACCAGGTAACTTGTAGTCTTGTTTGTCTCAGCTCTTCAGGGATCTCTCAGCCATTTCTAGGAAAGCAGTCCAACGGGATATATTGACTCACACAGTCACTCTTAGCCCTTCTTCTTGAGGAACGGGTCTCTAAAACGAAGCATCTTTAATAAAGCAGGTTCTCTGGTTCTCAAACACCTGCAACCGTCTTCATCTATGGATTTGGATGTTCCGTGCCTAGACTTGGAAAGTCCCATAGGTTTTCCGTCATGTGAGCTACTACTTTGGTTACTGTAAGGATTGCTGGTGGAAACATAAGGGCTAATAGGTATTGTTTTAATTAAATCCAAAACTTGCATGGCTTTTAAAAGGCCACGGAAGGTTGGATGCTGCTGATGGAAAGCTGCCCGGAGTGATTCATGAAATAGGAAAAGGCTCTCTGAGGACAAGTGTGGCGAACACAGCTTTGATTAAACATAGCATATGTGCAGTAATAAATAGTTTGCAGACGCTGCTTTGACGGAGGAAATGACGTTTCAAATACAGTGTTGGTGGGTTTTTTGTTTTTTTAAACTTTAGGCTTTTGCTTTTGGGTCTGGCGAAGACGATCTGTGAATAGCGTGAATGTCGGAAGCTTTCAAAGAATGTAAGAAAGCCGCTGGGGTGTTGGACCTTTTCCCTCCAGCTGGACTTTGGTGCTGTGAGTGACGGGGAGGGCAGGAACTGGCATGCATGGGAATTGCCAGTGACACTGTTGAGCAGGGGAGCCCCCACCCCCTTCGGAGAGGACTAAGGAGGTAGAAGCACTCCGCTGCAACCCACCCTTGGGTGCCAACTGACCTTGTAAAATTGGGTTCCTTTCTGTTGTATGCTTCCCACAATGGTGATTCTAGACAGAGTGAATGTGTGTGTGTGCTGAATTCCCTTTGTAAAGAGAACCACCCTGGGCCAGTTGAAGTTGCTGCTTGACTCTTTGACTTGTTTGTGTCTGAAGAGCGGGGACCCATAAGAAGGGCATTCTGCTTCTCTTCCCATCTCTTTCACAACTGGGCAAGATACAGAAACAGGGGTGTTGGCGGATACAGAAACGATGCTTGAATGCCAGATACTGTACAGAGGTTGCAACAGTATGCACGGCTGCGTGGCAGGACTCATGGGCTCTTGACTTAGTCGTTCATTATTTACATAGTTGAGGGCAGCTTTCCCCAACCTCTGTTGGACTGCAGCTCCCATCATCCCCACTGGCCATGTTGGCTTGGGATAAGGGGAGTTGTTATCTAACACAGCTGTAGAACATTGGGTCAGGGAAATGAGAGCGTTGGTGTTTTGCTTGGGTTCGACATCAAGGAGAATCTAGGTAGCCTTCCGAGTGGAAGGGGTGCGTTCACACGCTGGTGAGTTTGAGGCTCCTTTGCCCAAAGTTGCACTGCTGGCAATACCCCCCCCCCCCCCCGCTGAAAGAATCTCAGTGGCTTTATGTTGGTCTTAATCTCATTGAGATGCTGAAACACAGGGAGATGATCCTCTGATGCCATATGGGACTTCAGGATTCCCTGTTGGGGAGGTGTTTTCCTCTTTGAATGGTAAATATGCCCCCCCCAAACCTAATCTGGCGAAGACCTCTGTCTCTTACTGGCAAGACACAATACCAGACTCTCCCCTTCTGTGGCCTGAATGAAAGGTCCTGCGCTAACAGTTGAAATGATTGGGGGATACATCGGTAGCTACCGTAACCTTCTCAAATGTCTGCTGTTTTAAAACAACCCCCCCAGTAAATGTATGGGTTTTTTTAAAGTTATTTGTGAGAAGGGCTTCTTTTCAAATCCACAAAAGTAAGCTAAGAGCTAATTTCTGTGGGGGGCAAGATTTTTAAATTTTTATTTTTGGCTTTGTTTAGTTTTGTTGCACTGGAGTTCCCCAGATGCGCTTGGTTGTGTAATTTATTACCTTTCAGTGTAGTGCTTGTGAGGAGTGAGCTTGCTCTCTGTGTGTTTTGTTGCTGTTGTTTAGTTTTCTCTGGGACTTAAAAATCTTCTGTGTTTTTAACTAAGGGTTGCAGTCCATAGGACCAGTTTGTGAGAATCTTACCCAAGCCATGACGGCAGTGGTGATGGCGGGGTGTGTGTGTGTGTGTATCTGTGTATACAGTTGCTGCTGCTTTCTCTCCTTGGTTAGGTGACCAGTGCATTTTAATAGCTGTTTGACAGGTAGGATTTCTCGCTTGCCCCCTCTCCAGCAGAAGGATTAAGCCAGGTGGAGCTTTTTGTCATGCCATTGATGGCACCCAAGCACCGATGCCCCCCTCCCTGACCAAAGCTCTGCCCCCCCGTTTGCTCTCTTTTTGGGGGGGGTTCAGGTGCAGCTCTGCTGTCTCAAGGTGGAGAAAGGTGGGTTGTTTAGGAAGGGAGCTAGCTTTAGCCATGGGCACTTACATGAAATCTTACCGGCTGGTTATGAGGCCAGGAGCTCAGTGGAGTGAAGTTGCAGCTCTTGCATCTTGCTAAACCCCGGCAAGGGCATTGGGTGCAGGTGAAGATGATGGCTAGCTAAGGCAGAACAGTACGTCTCCACAACGTCTTGTGTGCAGGACAGTGCTTGACGTGTTGCATTTTGCTGCGAGACGTGGGGAGGGGAAGAGAGATCCATAGGACCAGAAGAAAAGAGGAAATTACACTCTTCTCTTTTTGGGGGGGGGGAGTGGCCTGGGTATGAGAAAGTTTAATGCAGCTTCCCCCAAGCTGGTACCCTTCGGATGTATTTGGACTACATCTCCTATTCTCCCCTACTCTGGCCACTGGGTATTATAGTACATTTCACCTGAAAAGCACTGCATTTGGGAACTTTGATCCAGTATTTGTAATGAGGAGCCAATCAAGTTGGTATTTCTAATGACTGAATCATTTTCCACGTTCTTTACACCTAAGTGAGATTTTAAAATGCTGCCACTTTTTTTGGAAGGACACTTAATTTTTTTTAAATCTTTCATGAAGCACTAATGAGATCCATTTGCATCCGCTTCTCCAAAATCAGTGTTTTAGATCAATTGGTACACACATTTTTTTCCTTTTTTGAGTGAATTCAGTTAGGAGGCTTCAGGGAAGAAAGATAGTCTCGCTCAGCTAAAATTTCTTTTGGTGGCAAAATGGCTATTTGTATTGGAAGGTGGAATTGGAAACAAAATAGCCTTACAAGAAATAGCCTTAAAATAATGGCGTGTTAAAAAAAACTAACTTCAGCTTTAAGTTGTATAAAATATCCTTTTAAAAAAAAGGAACGTTTCAGGAGAGATACAGGAGATGAAATGAGGGAGAGGGAGAGAGAGAGAGAGAGGACAGATGTAAGTGTTTTATACATCAACCTGGTTGTTTTTATTTTATTTTCAAATGAAACTTGAATGAATTTAAGAGGTTCAGTTCCGTTTAATGAATTGTCTGATCTTGCACAGTGGGTAGGTGTAACCTAATGGTAAAATGGTATCGATTTATGTGTATATAAGGTTTTACTTTATTTGTAAATGATGAAATTTATGTAACAGAATTATAGGGGAGTGATTTTTTTCTGTTGGAATTTAATACAGGTATGAGGTTTATGGCAATATGCTAGTTAATGATATTTCAGGTCAAACTTGTCTTTAAATTGTGTAAATTAAAAAAAAAGACTGTAATATTTCTACTGTACATTGATCATGCATAGTGTGATTCAAAAATTGCTTGTAATTTAAAGAACCTTATTTAATATTCAAAATAAAATAAAGGTATATATTTATAAACCTGTTGTTCAGTACTATTCTGCCATCTTGCACTGCTGAGTTTGGACTTTTCCTCTGAATGGTGTCCCTTCCGGCTGTAGGTTTTGTGCCACTCACGTGGCAGCCAGAATCCATTTTGCTGTGGTCTTCCACCGTTCCCTGTGGCGTGGCCCTTTCTGCCACGAGACGGGATGGCTTTGCCAAGAGGAATAAAATGGGCACTCCAGTGCCCCAGGAATCCAACTCTGGTGAGAACAGCACAGCCAGAAACAAATAACTAACCAGGTTGACAGGTTTTGTGGTTTGGCCCCAGTTCAACTGGAATGCCATCTCTGCCTTTCCCCTTTCTCCTTCCTGTCCGTGTTCTCTCTTTCGGCTTTACCATTATTTTTTTTTAATTCTGGCCTAGTTCCCTCCATGTGAAAAACATCCTAGGTGCATTCTTAAAAGGCTGCTTGTTTCCGAGTTTGCTCTTGAGAATTGTTCTCCCATCCTCTGAGGCTGTGTTGATAGGGTGTCGGAAGCTGGGAATAATGCGCTCAGGAAAGAATACTGAAGTTTTTAGAGGCAAAGTTTCCTCTCCAGTATCTCTTGTTAAAATTGGAGGTGGAGGGGGGGAACGGCAGAAATCTTTGGCTCTGCAGATGTTTTGGACTACGAATCCTATAATCCCTTAGCCCTAGACATGCAGCTATGGAGGGGTGTTCCAGACCAAAACAAAACTTCTCCCATGTGACTGCCCCAGGTAAAATGCACATAGTTTAAAACCTTCTTATCCACACCGGAAGCAGAGAATGTGTGTGTGTGTGTGTGTGCATGGTGGGAGGGGGCAGGACAGGACGGGGAGAAGAGAGATACTTTTATTGCTCCTTTTAAATGATGCACAGACAAGCTGCCTAATGTGTGTGAGCCTTCCAAGGTTCCTGTCTGTGCTGTGTAATATCTATGCAAAAACAGCAGCCACATGGCGAAGCAGATCCTGCTCTCATTATCTGGCAACTGCCACACACACACACACACACAAGGCCCTTGCAGAAAGCTAAGCCAAACTCCACCCCCTCACCTGTTTGTCCCTTAAAGTGACGTGTCCTAGCCCCAGTTTGAAATCTGCTGGAGTCTGGGAAAAGGGAACTGCTTGCTGCCTTTGGCACTCATTGCGTTCTTGCTGTTCGGTTGTGTTGATATCTGGTCCCAGGTCAGTTTAGAATTGTCATGGATGCTTCTGGCACTGATTCCACCACCAGGTAGGCCTTTTCCTCTCTTTCTGGGCATTCTGCCTTGAACCTCAATCTCAATCTAAGCACTGCTGGAATCTGGAAGGAAGACATGGATAAAAAGAAGGGGTGGGCAAGAATCAGCTGTAGTGGGCCATGTGCACTGAACATCTGTTAGTGGGAAATGTGGCTGCCTTTTAAATCTATAGTTTTTCTTTAAGAAATTGATTGTTTTAACTTCTTTGATTCTCTTATTTTCCAAGTAACCGTATTTGAATCTTATTACGGCTTATGAATTGCATGGTTTATTTTCTTTATATTCCCCCACCCCGTCTGCCAAAACAGGGACGGAAGGGGGCTCACAACAAGATGAACTAGAAAAGGTACAGATAAAGAGACAGAAATGGGAGAAATTCAATGCAGTTAAATGGTGCTATCAAAATGTAGTTCAGAGCCCAGAGCGGTAAAGTGCAACACCCATTAAAAGCCTCTTACTTGTGCTCACTTTTTCTAGGCTTGCTTAAAGAAAGGTCGAAAGCAAAGCGGAGGGAGGCCATGACTGGTTCCGACGCCTTTGGAATTCCTGGCGAAGGTAGTAGTGATGAATGTAGGAGAAAATGCTGCTAACGTGGGGAGGGAGAGGAGGCAAGCCCAAAGGCCACTTCACATGTCTTGAAGGCAATCCCAGTTCACCACAATACATTCATTCAGCTAGGTGCTGCAGCCCATTACAACAGTGGTGGGCATGTTTTTCGTGGAACCGGAAGGGGCCTGTGAGACCATCAAGCCCAACCCCCTGCTTAATGCAGAAATCCAAATCAAAGCAGATCTGAAAAGTGGATGTCCAATTTTTTGCTGGATGCCTCCAACATTGGAGCGTTCACCGCCTCCTGAGATCATGGGCTCCGTTGTTGTCCTGTTCTAACAGTTAAGACTTTTTCCTGAGATTCAGCCTAAATCTAGTTTCCTGTAGCTTGAGTCCATTATGATGTGCCTTGCACTCTGAGATGATTTGAGAATAGATCCTCCTCCTCTTGCCTTTCAAGTACCTGTATCTAAAAAGGGCTATCCTGTCTCCCCTTGGTCTTCTTTCCTCCAGGCCCAAACTTGCCCATTTAACATAAGAATGCAACAGATGTTGTATGCTGTATTTGCAGTCTGTGAATTCAGTCTATTATGCATGAGAGGTGAAGGTCTGCATGAAGGGTGCAGACACATAGGAAATAAAATGGGCTTGGGGGGGGGAGATGTAGCTAGCTTCATGTTGGTGGCTTCCATTAGCCAGCTTTACCCAGCCACAGGATGCTGAAGATGAGTGGTACTTGACTTGCGTTGAAATGGGGAGCTAATGGTTGATCAACCTGTGAAAGAAGCAGTGGTTTGACTGCTCTATTCTCGGCATGTACGGTATACTGATAAGAAGGACTTGCTTATTTTGCTCCTCAAATTTAAGATGCTGTTATGGGCCACAAATCCTCCTGTTTGCCTGGAATTTTTTTCAGTGAAACATCACAATTTAAGTGATAGTACTACTTGCTCAGTGATGGAAAGGACTCTGTAGGTGCTCAGCGCCTTTCTTATCATAGATTTGTGTCCATGATCTTAGAAATCTTAAAGAGTTTCTGGAGACATGGCGAGGGTTCGGTCCTCTCTTTTGCTGTAGCTCTGGTGGTGCTCAGTCTGTAAAACTGCTTAAAGAAGTTCTGACCTTGTTCTTCTAATTTTGCATAGCTGGTACTCTTGACTTTATACCGGTCTTGTCAAGCTAAGAATTGAAGATTTTATTCTTAAAAGTTCAAGAACAAATTCAGAGTTGTTTTAAACACCTTAACAGGTATGTGTTCGATGTTGAGCTCAAAAATTTCTGTTTTCAAACCTTATGGCTTGACAAAAACACTGCAAAAATAGGAAGCAGCATAAAGAGAACTGCAAACAGAATTCTTTGAAAAATAGCATGCTGTTTTGCAGAACGCAAAGGCTGTAAGAAGCAGTAAATTGTTTTCAGCAGCCTGTATGCCAAAGCTGGGAAACCTTTCATTGTGAGTCCCTTGAGGGTCTGGATCTCCATGGGCTTGGTTTTGGCAACTTCTTATAATAATAATAATAATAATAATAATAATAATAATAATAATAATAATAATAATAATAATAATAATAATAATAATAATAATAATAATAATAATAATAATAATAATAATAATAATAATAAAGAAGTTGCAGGTCTCAGAAATAACACCATCAGAGCTACAAAAAACGGCTATGTCAGGATCAGCATGCATACTGTGTCAATATTTAACAGATAACTTAGTTTTTTGGTTAGAATTTGTCCAGATACTTAGGTTTTTGGTTAAAATTTGTCTCTTATATAATACCAGTCAATATTTTCATAATATTGATTGACTGTGTCTGATGTTTTTGAATAATAACAATAACAGCTATAGCAATAGAACTGCAGGGCTAAAAGGGACCCTATGTTGGTGTCTGATATTTTTGAATAATAATAATAACAGCAATAGCAATAGAACTGCAGGGCGGAAAGGGACCCTATGTTATTTTGTCCTTCACCTATAAAGCTACAGTACTGGAAAGGACTTTGCACGTTGTAAATGCTTAGGTGCAAATGTCTTCTGACTGTTGCCACTGAATAAAAGGTAAGCATCACCTCTGTAGCTCCACCCACTTGGGATTCTGGCCATGCCCCTTCGTGAAATGACACGCCTTCCGAATCAAAAAACAGTGCTTTGGGAAAGAGAGGTTCCAGTCCAGTTTCAACCCCTCTTCTTCCAGTTCTCCATGCAGAGGACAGTTCATGCTGAAGAGTTTTCAAACTCACGTCTGAAGTGGTGGAGTCCTGTCTCACCCCCTTCAAGGCTCCACCACTTCCATATCCCTGCATGTGTGGATTAGGCCCGTTTAGAGTTGACCTCTGATGAGGACGAAATGCATTCTGGCTCTATTGGCAACCAATGTTGGTGTCGTCTTCTTTAAAACAGCCCGTGGGTTGCTGTGGGAAGCCTCCTCCCGTAAGATGTAAAATCAATGGGACGCCGTGCCTTTGATGGCCCCAACGATGAAGGCCAAAAGCAAAGGGATGAAACGACAGAGGAGAGTCACCGACGAGGACCACGTGTGCCAAGAAACTGCCCAGAGCAAAGACGGACTTCTGAAACATTCGCGGCGCAAAGAGACGAGGACTAACGAGAGCTCGAAGGCCACCTCCAGGGCTGCGAAACCCTCTTGGAGTAGTAAAGACAGGCGCTTGCGAAGGCTGGAGAGCAACGAGCGGGAACGCCAACGGATGCACAAACTCAACAATGCCTTCCAGGCTTTGAGGGAGGTCATCCCTCACGTTCGGGCTGAGAACAAGCTCTCCAAGATTGAGACTCTCACCTTGGCCAAGAACTACATTAAATCCCTCACCTCCACCATCCTCAGCATGTCGAACGGACACTTCTCCGCCATTGAAGGCGGTGGTCCGGATCCTGGCAGCAGGTCCAAACTGTACGAACACTATCAGCAGCAATGCGGGGAGGAAGACGAGTCGGTGGAGCAGCTTCAGAAATACTCCACCCAGATTCACAGTTTTAGGCAAGGGAGCTAAAGGGTGCTCAACGGTGCCCGGTCCACATGTATTGTTCCTTTTAAAAAAGGACAAAATTAGCCAAGAAACCAACCTGTGAATTTTCTCTAGATTTCTCCTCTTCCCTATAAGCTTTGGGAGGTGGGGCATTTTCTTGCTCCTGGATTGCTTAAGAGCAAGATTTCAGTGATCTGATAAATAAGATGCAAAAAAGGTTTTGCAACAAGATTGTGTCCGCTTCTCCAGCAGGTCACTTTTCCTGCTGCCCACCCCTCACCAATTTTCAAAGTTTCGTTCTAGGTGGACATTCATTCTCAGTGCTCTGGGGCTGCTGAAATGCTCAGTTCTCTGTCGTTTTTTTTCTTGGCGCTAAATAAGTTGCAAAAAAGGTTTTGCAACAAGATGGTGTCCGCTTCTCCAGCAGGTCACTTTTCCTGTTGCCCACCCCTCACCAATTTTCAAAGTTTCGTTCTAGGTGGACATTCATTCTCAGTGCTCTGGGGCTGCTGAAATGCTCAGTTCTCTGTCGTTTTTTTTTTCTTCTTGGCGAGCAGAGAGAGTGAGCCCTCCCTTATTCTAATGGGTGTGTTTTAAAACTCTGCCAACAGGAGTTCTCAGGATGAGAGTAATCCCTCAATCTCAGTGAGATCAGCCGTCCTTTTCAATAATCCCAGGCTGCTTCTTTTTCTGTTGACCCCGAGTTTGCTGTTAGGAAGATTTTGCAGGATAGGTTTCCTCCATGATGATGGCCTGCATGCACCAGTGGGGCAAGTTGAGAGTAAATGCAAGGCAGAGCGCCAAAGCAGGCCAGGGATTTGAAGCGCAGCGCAGGTTTGAGGTTGCAGTTCTATATATTGTGCTGGGAATAAGTGCTGAAGCTCTCAGCATATCGGACAGCATTAGTTTACTATAATGTCGTTTTCCAGGGGGAGGGTAACTGGTCCTTTCTTCTCTCCCCGCTTGAAAGGAGTTACGTTTGCTTAGATTTGAGCCCATAGGAGGAGAGACCTCCTTTTTTTAAGTCCATGTGCTATGATGCTTTGTGGTTCAAAAAGAAACAGGTTTCTCTTTTTGCCTTGCAAAAGAAAGTCCATCATGAATGCAAAAGAAGGCGTTTTGATAGAACTAAAGGTCACATAGGGTTAGATGCCATTTATGCAGTTAGCAATTGTGTAAATATCTTTTGAATAAGTAATCGGTTGGAGTAGGGAGACTTATTCCTAGGGTGACCCTTTTGTATGGTGAAGAAGGCAGGAAAAAAAGGGGGAGTGTAACACTGTATATCCTTCTTATCGGGATTGGGGCCATCTTCCTGTAAAAAATTGGTTAGACTCCAACTCTCAACAAGCCATGTTGTTTTTCTGCGTTGTCAAGTCATCTCTGGCTTCTGGCAACCCTGTGAATGAGCCATCTGTTCAGCTTTTGGGAGACTCAAGCCTGTGGCTTCATTTAAGGAGTCAGCCCATCCTTGTCTTTGACAGTCCTCTTTTCCTACTGCCTTCCACCTTTCCAAGCATGATGTGGCCAAAGTAGGACAGCCTCAGTTTTAATACTTTTGCCTCCAGAAGTAGTTCAGGCTTAATTCGATCGAAGGCCTGCTTGTTTGTTTTTTCTGGCAGTCCAGGGTCTCCGCACCACTAGCAATGTCCACATCTGGGGCCAAAATTAGAGCCACATGGCTAGTTGTGGTTCTAAATTAACCTAGGGAAGTCTTCCCTATTTTATCCTTTGTTCTGGGAATATTTTGCCCCTACACTTTTTTGGGAACCCTAAGTGGCCGCCCTGGGTTGGTGTATAGCAGCATTGTATGTTCTGCTCATGATGTTATAAGTTTCAGACTTCATCACCGGTGTAAGCGTACATCCACAGCATGGGCTGAATGTATGATAGTGTTGAAGTGTTTAACTGCATCTAGCTGCGCTGTTATAAATTGTAAATAATAGCAGTCGTGTTAATAACTAACCCCGAGAACCTTTTTTTAGCAGCTTTTGCGATTAGAAAAGAAATTGAGATTTTGTTGTATATTTAAACTCTTTGAATTGAGGCCGTGATTGGTTAAAATTGATCTGGAATCAAAATGAAAAAACAATTTATACTCCTGTGAAATGCAATTAAAGAAAATCAAAGGAAATAATAAAGGCAGAAGAAATTGCTTTGATATTTTTTGGCCTTTCCGTTTCTCCATCTTATGCCACCTTGAGCCATCAGTTCTTGAGTCGTGACCAGGAACGGTGTCCACATCCTAAAGAGTGTTGGTAGTACCCCAGGGGTAGTTGTGGGTCCCTTGGCACGGTTCCTCGGGCAGATGTGCAGCAGAATTTCTCCTTGTCCAAAGTAAGCATAGGAGAGAAATGCACTTAAGGCATTTTAACTCCCAGGAGCCTCAACCCACATGGTCAATAGTTAAGGCTTTCTGGGTGTTGAAATCATCATCTGGATTACTCTAAATTGAGAGCCATTGACTCAACGGGACAGGACATGGTTTATTCATTGAGCGGGGTTCCTCTTTGAGGCATTTGAGATGGAATGAGGTTCTTGAAGGGAGATCCTTTCCGTAATTCGAATAAGAAGCCCAAAACTAGTGGCCTTTCAGGTGTTCTGACTACAGCTCCCATTATCCCTCATCGTTGGCTATACCTCCTAGGCCTGATGGGCACTGCAGTCCGACTGGAGGTCTGCAAGCTGCCCACTCTCAAGGGTCTGCCGCTCTGGGGGTCTAAGGTGATACGCACTGTTGGGCCGGGGCTCTTTCTAGCAGGAATGATGGTTTATAAGAGATTTCCGTGCTCTCTTGGGCTCAATGCAATGTATTAAAGAGATTACAGCAGTACGTGTGGGGCAAGCCAAAGCAGACAAAACCTCAGGGCCAGCAGGGAAGCGAAAAAGCCCAGCGGCTCTGGAAAAACAAATAGAAGGGCTAAACCTGTTCTGAAGGACTTTAATTGCAAAGTCAACAGAACGACGACGGATTTCTTTTCGAAGGAAGAGGGAGACGGCTCAGCACACATTTATCCTGACCTGAACCAACCTGGAATGGGATGTTGAATGTTGGTGGGGGCGGCCTTTAAAGTTCCCTTGATAGATGCCCTCCTTGAAGGGCGGCTGCAAGGAAGCTTATCAGCCAGCAGTCCATCCACTCGTAAATCATTTTGTCATTTTCATATATGTACCACCCTTGCCATCTTGGCCTCACTGAACCTTTCACAGGGACTTCTTTAGCATTCCTAGGTTTTTACAACAGTGTGCGTAAGACACTGGTGTGACATCAGGGGAAGGGCAGGAAAGAGCCTATTCATTTTCTTGCAAGTGCCATGCAAGTTACGTTATCTGCCCAAATCCTGTTGACTTGCATAAGGGTGTTAAAGTGATTGCCTAGGTTTTCCCTACCCACTACAGGCTTTGCTCGGCACTCAAGTGTTGCGATGAGTGTGAAATCAGGCGTGCAAAGAGGAGCAGATGGAGGGGGCATTGCATGATTACCTTATGCACCCTTCCTCCCCCCCCCCAAGTTGGCTTTTGGCTGCTATTTTCACAGCTATTGTTTTGCTACCATTTTATATTTCAGTTTGCTATTGTTTTACTATTGTATTGCCGTCATTTAACTATGAGCATTGCAAGACGGCTTCCTGAACCAAAATATGTCTTTGCTCTTGGGACATCTGGAAAGGTAAGGCCAGTATATTTCCTGTACGTCCACCCCTCTTTTGCTACCATTGCATCAGCAGCACTTTCTCCCTCTCTTTACTGGCCCAATCCAAGGGGGGTCCATTTTGATCCTTCAAGCATAAGAATGGTGGATTTGGAGTAGATGCAATGCCTGACTGCTCCAGCTTGTAGAAACGAAGGAGGTAAAGTTAGTGGGTGGATTGCTCAGTGGGTTAAGTATCTGGCTGCAGAGGTTGGGAGTTTGATTCCCCACTGCGCCTCCTGCGAGTAGAGCCAGCCTGGGTGGCCTTGGGCAAGCTGCACAGTCCCAGGGATCCCCAGGAGATGGGAATGAGAACCCCCTTCCAAGTATTCTCTACTTGGAAAACCCCGAAAAGGATTGATGTAAGTCAAGACTGACTTGATGAAACATTATTATTTTACAGCTAGGTTAGGATTTCCTCTATTCCATGAACTTGCTGTCTCTTTATCCATGGCATGGTTTAACAGCTATATTATTATTGGAAATGTTCAAACGACTTCAAGTGCATTCTCTCTGTAGGCTCAATCCCGTTTTGGATTTCAGCCTGAGGAAATCCACTCAAATGACTAGTTAGTCAAGTTGGCTTGTTAGTCAACACTAAAGTACGCCTCGTTGATTTGGGGGGGATCTCCTCTCATTAGCGCTAAAATAGGATTTAGTTGTCTTAATTGATTGCATTTGGTAATCCTGGTGTCTGGTCAGTTAGTAATCTTATTGGGTTCCCCGACCACCACTTCTTGTGCACGCAGGAGAAATATGGTTGGTGGCATCATTCTATCCTTTGCTTCAGGCAGCAAAATATCTTGAGCTTTCCCTGGGCAATGCAATGGAAATGCAACGCATGGCAGACTCAAAAGAGAGCTTTGTAAAAAAATGAACATATTTCCCTAAACCAGAGGTTCCCAGATTGTCATCCAATTCCTAGAAATCCCGGATAGGACCGCTAGTGGTGAAGGATTCTGGGAAATTTAATCCATCTGGGGACCTGAGCTTGGGAACCACTGCCCTAAATTATTCTGCTCAGCTCCTGAGGCCAAATGGCCACGCTGGCTGGGGGTCGAGAGAGATTTTTGTCCAAGAAAAGTAACTTTTAGAAGCTCTGCTTCTGTTTGTGGTGTGGAATTAAGAAGGTCACTGCCCCAGAAAAACAAACCAGGTAAGGAGAGTAGCAGGAAGCATTGTGTGGGGGAAAAGGTCAATGCTGTTTACTCTCGAGAGATTATAGCGAAGGCTCCCTTGATCAAAATCAAATCATCTGCATCATTTAGGAAGAACAGGATAAAAGCTCTTAAGCACCAATTGAACATGAACAATGCTGCCCTCACGGCAGGCAAAAAGGCCCTTTATAGGATCTCCAGGGAACATGATCTGCCTCTGATTGTTTTGATGTGCTTGTGCTTTACGCCGTCTATATTCGTGCAGGTGCCAAACGTAGGATTGTGTTCTGACGGCATTTCCAGTGTCAACGTCATCGCTTCTGGACTCATAACCTCCTCTGGCTGCTGTCCAGTTAAAAAGACAGAGGGAGGACTACGCCTCGTTGACAGAAATGGGACATTATGCTTGCAGTGAGTGATTAAAAAAGACCCATTGGGTTGCTCTCAGTGGCCAGAATCTGTAGCTTGGAACTGGACATTCGGAAGTTTGGAGAGCACCCTGTTGAAATCATAGATCATCTCTTTGCATAGGATTCAGGTCTACAGGACCAGGATTAAATCCCATGTGGAATGCCAAGTTTGCTGTGATTCATACTCTGAAATCATGCCGATGTAACTATGCCTCCAGAAGGTTGTTGATGATTACCGGGGGTGGGGGAGTGCAATGTTCAGTAATGAAAGACTTCTTCCTCTTGTTCTGTGACTCCCACACAATAAAGGGGATTACATGGTTGCTGTGGGACAGAAAAGCAAAACAAAGCGTGCTGCTTATATACCGCCCCATAGTGCTTCAAGCACTCTTTGGGCAGTTTACAAGTTAATTATGCAGGCTACACATTGCCCCCCCCCCCAGCAAGCTGGGTACTCATTTTACCGACCTCGGAAGGATGGAAGGCTGAGTCAACCTTGAGCCGGCTACCTGGGAATTGAGCAGTTTTGGTTGCAGGACAGCGGTTTAACCACTGCGCCACGAGGCTCTCAGAAGTGTTTGATTTCTGAAAATTGCCCCCTGCTGAGGATGTCATCAACCTTCAGCAGGAAGAGTGACACAAACATAACCCACATGTTATCTTGCCTAACCTTCTACTAAAGCAGAACCCACAGCTTAAAAGTATTCCCAGACAGATGGCCATCCAATCTTTGGGTTAAAAACCTCCCCACTCTTTCCAGCAGGAAGCTCCTTCTGATGATTAGCTGAAATTTCCTTTCTTGATGAGGATGTCATCAACCTTCAGCAGGAAGAGTGACACAAACATAACCCACATGTTATCTTGCCTAACCTTCTACTAAAGCAGAACCCACAGCTTAAAAGTATTCCCAGACAGATGGCCATCCAATCTTTGGGTTAAAAACCTCCCCACTCTTTCCAGCAGGAAGCTCCTTCTGATGATTAGCTGAAATTTCCTTTCTTGAAATTTGAATTGCTTAATTTAAGGCCTTTTTCTCTGGAGCCACAAGGAACGAGCTTGCTCCATCTCTGAAGATGGTTGTGACATTGCCTCTTGGTCTTCCTGCTCCAGGCTAGACTCTAGGAAGGCCTATGAGATTGCTCTCGAAGAGACTTGGATTGTGTTTTCTGTGTCAATTTAAAAGCTGTAGCTCAGCTTTAGAGAAATCATCCAGGTCTTGGACCAAACCATGGTGGTCCTTATGTTCAGAGCCCCCCTCCTTCTCCAGCTTCATTATTTGGTGGTTTCCCAAACGTTGTATGGTTTTTCTCCCATCTAAAAACCTGAAAGGCTTTGCTGGAGGTTGACTTTACTAGCCAGGTTTGAGAGGACGTAGAGTTCAACATCTAGAAGGTGTTTCCCCCCAGTTACTCTCTAGAAAGCTCATGGATGGGTGACAACAGTTGCTTGTTTCCGTTACTCACTCACTGATGCGATGGGAAGAGCTTGGAACCAATCCCCCGTGGATATGGGAATCCTAATGTACTAACTATATTACTAATTTGCAACTACTGTTTACTGCTCTTGTAATACTATCCCATAAGCTAAGAGATATTTGTTGTCTAGAGAGGGGAGAGTATATTTCCTTTACTAGCCAGGTTTGAGAGGACGTAGAGTTCAACATCTAGAAGGTGTTTCCCCCCAGTTACTCTCTAGAAAGCTCATGGATGGGTGACAACAGTTGCTTGTTTCCGTTACTCACTCACTGATGCGATGGGAAGAGCTTGGAACCAATCCCCCGTGGATATGGGAATCCTAATGTACTAACTATATTACTAATTTGCAACTACTGTTTACTGCTCTTGTAATACTATCCCATAAGCTAAGAGATATTTGTTGTCTAGAGAGGGGAGAGTATATTTCCTTTACTAGCCAGGTTTGAGAGGACGTAGAGTTCAACATCTAGAAGGTGTTTCCCCCCAGTTACTCTCTAGAAAGCTCATGGATGGGTGACAACAGTTGCTTGTTTCCGTTACTCACTCACTGATGCATCCTAGTGAAGAGTGAACTCGTACATCAGGAAGTCCCCGTTGGAGTCTGACCCCTGCCATGTCTCACAAGGTGGCTTTGGACAAGCTGTTCACCCTTAGCCTTAATCTCCGTCCTACAACCACCAAGGATAAGGATAATAGGATTTAACTATTAAATAGTCGCTCTCTTCCTATCATTCCATGAACAACGCCATTTCCAGCACTTTACCAGCTCAATTCAAGTGGCTAGTTTTGATTTTTTTTTTTATCTTTTCCAGAGAATCTTCCTTCTCATGATGTGCCCAAAGTAGGAGAGCCCTAGTTTCAACATTTTGTATCCAGAGAGAGTTCAGGCTTGATTTGCGCTTTGTTCATCTCCGGGTATCCACAACACATCACATTTCAAATGAATCAGCCTTCTTCACTGTCCAGCTTTCACACCCATACGTAGTGACTGAGAATGCAAGAGTGCGGACGGTCTTGCTCTTGGGTCCCCACTGGCACATCCTGACACTTGACAATCCTTTCTAGTTCCTTTGTTGCTGCCCTTCCTTAGTGGTGGTGGTGGTGTTATGGACTGTGAAGTCACCTCCATTTTATGGCAACCCTATAAATGCGAGATCACCCAAATGTCCTGTCCTCAACAGCCGTGCTGTAAACTCAAGACCGTGGCTGCCTTTCGGGCAGTTGACTCCCAACCTTCGGTCCCCAGATGTTTTTGGACTATACCAGAAATCTTTACCACTCGTTGTGCTGGCCAGGATTTCTGGGAGTTGTAGTCCAAGAACATCTGGGGACCCAAGGTAGGAAACCAGTGCTTAGGGAGTTGATTCATCTTGTATTTGGTCTTCCTCCCTTCCTGCTGCCTTCAACATTTCCTAGCATTATGGTCTTTTCCAGTGAATCTTGTCTTCTTGTAATGTACCCAAAGTACAACAGTCTCAGTTTCATCTCTCTCTCTCTCTCTCTCTCTGCTTCTAGAAAGAGTTCAGGCTTTGTTTGATCCCACCTGTTTTTCTGCCAGCCCATGGTATATGCAAACTCCTCCTTTTGCTGCTGAATCCTGAAACTGTCTTCGCCTGGTGTGGGCTGCTAGTAAAGACTGAGAAATGGAGAGAATCTGGCAGTCCCGTGTGCTGTATTTGTAACAGAATTCCCTTCCTTGTTCTACTAAGATCGAGAGCATATAGAGATCACCATAGCAGCAGACTCCCTTTCAAAACAAGCAACCAAGCAAAACTTGAACTCTGAACCCTCATGTTTCAGCCAGAGTGGCTCACTTTTCCAAGCGATTTGCCTATTTCTCAAGGGCAAAATTTGTGAAACCCTGTCTTTCTAGGATGGAAATAAATTCTGATTCAGAGCAACCCCCCTTAGCGAACTCTCTTCACCTCGTCTGTAGCCACATGCTTGCATTTACGGGGGGGGGGGACCAACATTATTAAGCATTTGGCAAAACGATCAGCCGTCTTAACGTGGTACAGACCGTGCTACTTGAAGTGTATACCCATCTTGAGTAAATATCAGCTCTGTCTTTGTTATGCCTTGCTTCTTAATGGCATGGCAGGAAAAATAGACCTTTCATTATTTCCTTTTCCTGGCAAGGAGATTGTGTGCCTTTCAAAAAAAAGGCCAACACGGGAATGCAATATTTATTCAATTAGGTAACATGAAGCAAGAATGCTTGGATTTGTTTTTAACAGTACAAAATAGTTTGGGGGCTGTATGTCCAGCCATCTGTTGGGGGCCCACACTGAAGACTGATATAACGCTATTGCACTGCAGGTGGTAGTTGTCCGATTACCACAAACTGCTCTTTTTTAAAAAACCTAAGAATGTCAAGCATCACACAGACAGCCTGCCCTCATTTCAATGCGCCCTCCCTTTCAAGAGAAAGTGGGAAATCGTTCTAAAGAAACCCTCGTCTTCACCTTCGATTCCGAAAACTTTAGTTTAATTGGCAGCAAATACGTTTACAATATATCGGTTCTGAAACTCAAGGACATGCACAAGGTGAACGGATGAACTCGAAACTCACAACTGCTGTGAAACCATGCCACAATGCGAGTCCAGGTTTGTTAAAGGGCTCCATGGACAGTCGCGTGAGATGAAAAGGAAAGAGAGCCATGCGTTCCGCTTGCAGCCTGCCTCCGATGGAGGTTAGTAGAAGGATCTGACCCTTCGGGAAGGCAGCTCCCTCGTTCGATGGTAGACCTCCCTCAAGGCAGTGGGCTGCAACTCCCGGAAGCCTTCACCACCAGCTCTGCTGGCCGCCGTTTCTGGGAGTTGCAGTCCAAGCACATCTGGATGACCCACGGGTAGGAACCCCTGTTCTGAATGGGGGGTGCAGAACTGAAAAAGAAACAGTGGGTTCCTTTTTCCTTGGTTCCTCTTACTCTAGGGTAAGCCAGGAAGCGGACAGCAGCAAAGAGAAAAGCTTCCTGGCGTCCCAAGGATCCTGAGCGGGCTGCATGCCACACCAAGGCAGCCAGCGGCCGACCCCTTTTCTGTTGCATCTCATTGTTCTGCTCCAACTCAAGTTCTATTAAGAAATGACCTGATTTAAAATTAATTTGCCAGATCATATCTTAGGCATCCTACCATAGCAGGAGACAGCTGTTCCCACCAGTCAAGAAGCTGCCCTCGCACAGCCGTTTGACAGAGGTCAGTGGGATCGTTACAAAACAGGTTTTAGGGGTACGTTTCTAAAAGTGTGTAGGCAAAAAATTCATGAAACCAACCCAGTCGCTCCAACAGAACTATTCACATTATTGTCAGTTTACGCAGCAGCTGCCTTACAAAGGCTCAGCTTATGTGGACGGATCCTGTGCCATCCCAGGCATTTGGCACCATATGCCTAACGTAAGTATGGAGAGGATAATAAATTAAAGTGGCTTGTCTTTTGTTTTTGGTTAAAACAGCAATAACAACAACAATTTGCAAAGTGTTCAGAGAGAACATTCCACCCACACCTTTAGGGTCTGACCTGTTTGTGGGTGACTTCTGAATTGTTTCGTGGGAACTGAGCACGGGTTTCTGCCCCCCCCCCGATCCCGGCAGCTTGTACTGCGGGTATCTGCGAGGTGTTGAGCCCCTTCCCTCTTCTGTCGACCCAAGACAGAAGCATCCAGAGACCAATACACTTCCGCCACATCTGCACAGAGGGAGTGGAACACAGAAGGAAAATGCAGGCCGTGGGCATTCTCTCTAGGAAGTGTGTTAACAGTGGATGGCGTTCTTGTCCATATCGCGAGCAGCGTCTACCAAGAGGGTGGTCTGAGGATGGTCCCCTCCTCCTCCTCCATTCTCTCCGGCATCTAATTCCCTTGGAGGGTGGGGAGGGTCCCTGGAGGTCTCTTGAGATGCCACCTTGAGGTTTTCCGTTGCGTTCCCTCGGACTGTGATGTGATCCCATCCACCCTACAACAATCAGAGACGGTGGTTTTAAAGCAGGAGTGGGCCGATGGTGTCCCACCCCCCCCAAGCTGTTTTGCTGCCCCAATCTCATCAGGCTCTGCCCAACCTTGTGCCCCCCCATGTGAACGGATACTCTTGAAAGCTTGTCGGACCAGTCACGCTGCTTTTAAAGACTCCACTTCCTCCCCAGTAGGCTTTAAGGCCAACTGCTACAACAACAAAACAACCCTCTACACACACACACACCAAAACTGGAAGCAAACTGTTGAAAATCACATAAACCTAGAATGCAGGAATTTTGTCCTTCTCCCATATTTTTGATGGTCCCCTGGATGATTCTGGGGCCAGGAAACATCCCCATCCCACCTGCTGAAGCTGCCCATGGTTTAAAACCAAGTGGGAAATCATTCTGCCTGAGAAGGAGAACTAGGAGTGACAAGGCAAAACATGATGTGGAAATGAACAGTGGGGGTCTTGACACTTCTGTATTATTATTATTATTATTATTATTATTATTATTATTATTATTATTATTATTATTATTA